TACATACATACATACATACATACATACATACATACATACATACACACACACACACACACACACACACACATATATATATATACACATATATATATAAACATACACACAAACACACAAACACACACATAGATACACTATAGTACACAAAATGTAAACCAGCTTTCAGCAAGATCGATTGCAAAATTATTTCACTGATTACCCCTTACAGCACACAAATTAGACATAATGTTTTACTAACCATTCCTTCTCCACATTTTGTTCCAGGATGAACCTGTCCAACCTCTATTTCATTTCCTATTGCAAAACTGCCTTTGCATATGGGAAAAGCCACCAGGTTTCCATCTGCGGGCATATGGGTACCACCTGTGCAATATAGCTTGCCACATTTTAGAGCCCTAAAAAGGAAATAACCAATTCCTTTTAATGAAAAAGAATGGATTAATGTTCCTTTGCTCATTTGCATGAATTGTTCTTGGATTAACATTATTTCAAATTAGAGCTAAACAACCAGAGGCTTGCTCAGCCTCAAAATGAACTTGGTTGCATTTAAGAGATAACTAAAAAAAATCTCGAGAAGTGTTTCCAGGGTTTTTTTTTGGGGGGGGGGACACAGAGAAACACAGTTTCTGTACCTCTAACTAGCTCACGTGGAATCTCTGTTTTTGAGGGTGAAGGTAGTTTGAAACAGAAAGCGTATCTTCAGAGTAGGTGATGTATCTGTTATCCACCTGGAAAACTCCTAAAGCAGATTCAGGAGGCTTCACCTCTAATTTAAATTCCCATAAACTGTGACTGGATGACAGGGGATGATGTGAGTTGAAATCTAAAGGTTGGGGTATTAAATATTAGAGAGAGAAACTGCCCTGAAAATGGAAATTATTCCATTTCAATTTCAAATAAATATGAAAAAAAAAGAAATTAAAGATTTAAATAAAAACTGCCCTTGTTTTAGTAGGAAAATATTGTACGGGGTCTAAACTGTCTAAAAGACAGAGTCTTGATTACACACACCACTAAATAATATTGTGGCTCATTGTTTCTTTTGAGTTCAACTTGTGATGCAAATCTAGCCATTGTGGGTTTCTAAATCGTGGTTTATAATTAAGTGCAATTCATAAACTCAGCCAACCAGGGCTTATTCAAAAATATTGCAAAACAAGCTATTGCTGGGTGGTGTTAGCCCAGAGAGAAAGGTTGATTGTGTGTCAGTCCACAACTGGGTCCAGAATTTCCATTGATAAACAAAACAGATGTTAAGTGAGTTGCACCCAATTTTATAATATTTCTGCCATGGTTGTTAAGTGAATCACACAGTTGTTAGGCAAAACCAACCTCCCTCATTGACTTTGCTGGTTGGAAGCTGGCTGGGAAAAGGGAAAACGATGATCATGTGACTTTGGGACACTGCAATTTCATAAATACATGCTGGTTACCAGCACCTGAATTTTGATCACATAACTATAGGGATGCTAAAATAAGTCACTTTCAGTGTTGTAACGGTGAATGGTTGATGAGTGGTTGCAAGTTAGGACTTCCTGCCCTTTCACACACAGTCTTTTAAAGGGTACTTTAAAAGTTTTCATGGCCTCTTTTTATTGCTCCAGCTTGTAACTCCAACAGCAAACAAAATTAGCCATTCCGAAATTGACATACATTTCTGTTAATTTTAGTGACATGATAGAATCATGTCCCTTACATTACCCTTACATGATCATCATAATAAATGATGACACAGATTGTTGGGACCAATATGCTGACTCTGTAAACTGCTTAGAGAGGGCTGTGAAGCACTCTGAAGTGCTATATAAGTGTAAGTGCTATTATTGCTATAGTAGGAAATAATGTAGACTGCTTACTTTGGTTTACATGGAATGTAGTTATCATTTACTTTTCTGCAGTGGCCGTAATAAACCCCTTTCCTGTTGACCGCAAAACATGAATCTGGACCAACTTTTCCATCTGTAAGAGGGAGTGAGGAAGAAACATAAATACTTGAATGTGTAACATGCCAGCAGAATAAAGAATGGCTTAAGATATCTCAGGAGTTACAGATAATTTAGTTAATGTTCACTTATTTGTAACTGATTATTTTGTAACCCATTACTTATCTAATCCTCATTATGCATGAAGCATTCACCATCTCCTACAGTGTTACAATAAACTTGCTTATACCACTTTATAGACAACACTGAAGCTACTCTTATGCAACTTGCAGAAGACTGACTAGTAAATCAATGGCTGTCGAGAAATCCGAATCAAAGATTCCTTCCTCTGTATCCCCATTTTCTAACTTCATCACTATCAGATACATTTCTGTGCTGGAATGTAGTGGTGGTGTGGCAGATTTGGACAGTGAGGAGGTTGGGGAAGAACATGGGCCAGTCCTGGAGTCTGGAGAAGGCTCTGATAAGGGCTCTGTATTGGAGGCAGAGAGGGGGCCAGGGCCGTCTGACAGTTATCAGCTGCCTTCAGAGTCAAACAGCAGTGAGGCAGATGAATAGCTCGAACCTGTTCCCAGAGTGTGCATGCACAGAGTTGCCAGATGAATGGAACAGCTGAGGAGCAAGGCCCAACTTGGGAGTAAGGCCACAGATGGACAATAAGTGGCCCCTCCCATAGGGAATAAAAGAGGAGCAAAAGGGGAGTGTAGTCTGCAGGAGACAATTAGTGTGCTTAATTGGTTTGTGACTCAGAGGCTCCTTGTCAAGTTTTGAAGATATCGGCCTGGCAGCTCTCCAAGTGGGATAAGGTCTGTGACTGTATATTCACCCTTGAAAGACTTTGCTAGATGTGGTTGAGAGGAATTCATAGTAACTTAATAAAAAGGGGTTTTTGTCAGAAGTAAGAGTCTACTTTGTGGTTTGGGAAAGCCTAGGTCAGAACAAATGAAGAGATAGAATTCTAGGAGGGAGGGACTGCATTCCAGAGAAATAAGAGGCAACTCTGCCTGGATATCATGTGTGAGAGAAAGAGGGTGAAGACATGTCCTTCCAAATATTATATTGTAGATCGAGTTAGCGGAGATCTCAGTCTGACAGGATTTTATTCACAGTATGAAAACTAAAAAACTCTGCTTGTAAGAATCACCATGTAACATTCTTAGCTTGATACCTGTCAATTCCTGGGCATAAGCCTTTTTGAATATAACTGGATTACTTGCAAAAGATTGAGCTATTACCATTATTTGGAATTTTACATCATTTCATGCTATTTACTGACCAAAATAAAGATCTCTTGGTTTGAATTGAGAGTTTCCATTTTGAAAGCCATGGGAATAAAAGAGCAAGGTCCCATTTATGGCCTAAATAAATGGACTGCACCAGTAAGGCCACCCTTGGAGTACTACATCCAGTTTTGGTTAGCATGACAGAAAAAAGTTGCTGAAACCCTAGAAAAAGTGCAGAAAAGAGCAACAAAGATGATAAAGAGATCTGGAGGCTTAATTGTACCATGAATGGCTGTGGGAAGTAGGTGCGAAGAATTTAGGGGTGACATGATAGCAACCTTCAAAAATTTGAGGGGCTGTCATAGACAAAATATCTGAGAGCAAGACAAGAAGTAATGGATGAAATCTTATCAAAGAGAGATCCAACCTAGAATTAAGCAGAAATTTCCTGACAGCGAGAAGAATTTATCAGCCTCCAAACATTTGTGGGTGCTCAATCACTGGAGGTTTTCAAGATGAGATCAGACAACTATTTCTCCAGAATGATATAGGATCTTCTACCTTGAAGGGGTTGGAGTAGAAGACCTCCAAGGTCTCTTCCAATTCTGTTCTATGTTCTACCAGAGAGTGACAAGAACACCCTCAACACCTGTTCCTTTCATTATTATGCCAAATGTAAAGAACATTTTAGTCACCAGGTATGAATATTCTTAGCAGACCGTCCCGTTTTCAATCTCCATTATCTCTGACTGAGAACAGTGAAAAGGGATGGGTCAATCAGTGGCCCCAATTAACTCTTTGAGGAACATTGCAAGATGGATAAAATTCTAAGCATATGACAGTTGACGTTATTGTTTGTGCTTCCCCAGTAGTATTGGCTTGCTTCACAAGACCCGTTGATTTAAGACAAAGAGTATTGGAGAACAGTTTTGAGCTGACAATCTATTTATGGCATGCATGCATGTGTGTGTGTGCATGTATACACACACACACACACACACACACACACACACAAACACACAAACACACAGACACAGACACATACACAGAGAGATCTTTGTGCAATTTGGGATTGCATCCTTCCCCAAAGTCAGCCTTTTCAGATTTCTGGTTTACAATTGCTATCATATTTAACTATTGAACCAGGTTCTGTAGCAACATTTGGAGCTTTAAAACAAAAGATCTGGAGCATTGAGCATTAAAACCTCTGAAGAACAAACTTCATCTTGAAAGATTATGAACAAAATACATATAGAACAGAAATGAAAAAAAAGAAAGAAAATGTCTTTGATCAAGCCGAATGATTGTCTTAGAGTTTTGTTTTGATTTGATTCATTTAGTTTTGTTTCATTTCGTTTTGCAATATCACTATTCTTAACTCCTAAGGTTGACTTACTTGGCCCCCAGAGAGCAATACATTGGTTTGCCAAGGTGGGACACTTCCCCATGTAGCAGTAACCTTGGTTGTTTTGGCATGGGCCTCCATTCACACTGAAGCGATCCAAGGGACACTGGGCAGACTGGCCAGTGCACAGTTCAGGCAAATCACAGTCATGCTTTTTTGTTCGGCATACTGTTCCTCCTTCCTTAAACTGTGGATGAGAATGAAAAATATTCCCAGCTGTCACTCTTTAGCATCAGAGGTCAAAGAGACACACCATGATTCCCAACACATTTCAAAGCCTCCTCTTCATCTGTCTTGAGGGTTGCCAATCAAGGCATTGCTGCTATGTTACAAATGGCTCCAGATCTTAAGACATTGTGTCTAGGGCCTAGAGGTCCCAGCTTCCCTTATTTGCTATGAGAAAGTAACTGCCATGGTCACTTAGAATCT